GTTTCCTCTTAAGTTTTGATTATTTTCTTGGACTGACCAATCGGCTTCTCTGCAGACATATGAGCAGTCCAGAAAGTAGCACAAAGAGCTCAAAATCTGGAAAGATATTCAGTAATGCTTTTGGTCAATAAAATTATATTAGATCCATTATCAGAATGATCAGATCTGGACCACGGTCCACCAGGTGCAGACCTCTGCTATAACTGTTTTTATTTTGACATTCCTCCTCTATCTCTACCTGTCTTCTGCAGCTTCCTGTGGAGGAGGAATATGACCTCAGTGATGTTGATCTGGATGAGGACTTTGATAAAGACGAGTTATGAGTCCCAGAAGCATAAGAATCTGACCCAGACTTTGGGTCTGGTCCTGTCTGTCCCCCACCTTCCTTTTCCTGTGGACAAATGGGGGGCCATGCTGGCCAGTTACTGAAATACTCCAGAAAAGGCGCATGAAAGACACCTGCAGTTTTTCACACCATCTTATCTGTCACGCAGGAGGGAGGGGAGAATATGCGTGTTTGTCCATGAGATGAACTCCTTTTCACAAACTTGCTGAATGTTTGAGGCGGAATATTTATAAAGCTGCCACCAGCTGAAGAGAGGAGGGGTGAGGTTCATTTTAGTCTTTTACAAACGTCGCTCTCTCTCCCCTCTTCAGCCGCCTTAAAGAACCTATTTGAAGATGTGAACTTGAAAAGGTAATTATTCAGTGATTTTTATGTTTATTATTTTTTTTGTTGTTTTGTCTTTAAGTGGTGAATGAGAATCTGAGTGGGTTTGCGTCATTTTTGTCCAGGACAAGGAGGGGATCATCTTTGGGACTTTTGTGTAGATTTTCTTACACGACTTTATTTCAATTGTGTGAAAACAAAATGACATTTTTGTTACAAAAATAAAAAAATAAAAACAATCAGTCCCTGCTTCCTTATTCAAAGTATACTCACAAAATTCCAAAATACACATAACTGCGCCATGCTATATCAAGGCATACAGAGCTTATACATAAGACTAGGCTTCTGTTGATATCCTAAACCACGATAAGCCACAGAATCAAATTAGGTTATTTAGTTTCCATTTAATTGTAACATTGTGCTAGCTGTAACACTTAGAATCCAGTCAAAATAAACTTGATAATGGCACTTTATATAGCAGAAACGGCAAAAGAGGAAAGGGGTTTATAAAGCACAAAAATACAATAGCTCCAGAGACAAAGACGTCATTGAAAGAGTTACACATCGATGTAAACAAGAGTTAGCTGAAAAGGTGGTGGCGGGAGGCAGGCAGAATGATTTATGTTGGTATCCTCATGCAGCAGGGTTGGTTTCTCTGTCCTCAAAACTGGCGGGAGGTTCCCTGATCTGACTGCAGCAGTCTAACGATGGACGGGTCGCTCTTGGCACCTTTAATAAACTCCTCCAAAGACAATCTACCTGCAGAGCACAATGGGGAATAACAATAAAAAAAAACAGTGGGAACAGAGTGTGTCTCGTCTAAACTCTTTAAAGAATATCTGATTTAGTGATTTTTTTTTCTTTTTTAGTTTTTGTAGCAAAATAATCACTGCCTTCCCACTTATCAGCAAAATAATAAGAAAAAAAAACTTTACTTGCAGATATTTCAGCTTTGCATTTCTAAAATGGCATGTAGCTAGTGCTAATGCATGATTTTTTTTATTCAAAAAATGTATTGGCTTTTCTAAAACCAAATGGCGCTCTGCACAATTTTTTTTCTATATCATCTGCTGGTTTACTAAAATTACGATAACCTTTGCCTGAATAAAACCTTTTAACTGTACACGTGTAACATTTCTTGCTATGACATGTTGAACCCATCCAGAATGCTCAGACTTCTCTCCCCTCTGTTCTTTAGGTTATCTGTGTTGTAGGCAGTACTTGTTCCTGTTTCTCCAGTTCCATCAACCTGATAGTGAATCAGTGCGAAGCGTCAAAGTACTTCTCAGGACCAAATAAGAGTCTTCTGAGTCATAGACAAAACAGGAAGTTATTGCTAAATCTGGATGACAACATTAATGGAACATTTTAAAGTCGGTATGGCTAAAGCCTTGTTAGGCATTGTTTGATTACAAAAAATGCAAAACAGAAAATCTTAATTGAAATAGTTTAAAAGCTTTACTGTCCTGTTTGAAAACATAATCTCTGCAGGAATTGTGATTGAGGAAATAAATAACAAGGGGGGCCCAGAATTCTCCTCAGTGTTTAAAAAGACAAGAGGAAAAAAATAATGACTTAAATTTGATAATTAAGTTATAATTTAATAATCTGTCAGTAAAACCTTTTATTTTCAGTTATTATAAATAAGGATCTTGTGTAGAAAAAATAGGAAATTTATTAACAATGATACTCAGTAATGTTCATTTTTCTTAATTTCTCCAGAAACCAATTTCAAATACCAAACCAACCAAATAGACTATTCAAAGATTTAAATAAAAAAAAAGTATTTTGTTAAATAAAAAACGCAAGAGTTGCCTTTATTTCCTGTGTCTATCATCTAAAGTCTTAATTTACGGTTATCATGATGTAGCCTGATAAACCAGACTAAATGGGAGATGAAAGGTTTTATTCAACTTGCAGGCAAAAATGATTTTGGCCGCTGGTGGGTGGGGCTAGTTTACTCTGCTAATCATGATGGATAACATTTCAAGTTTTAATTGGCTCATGGTTTCAACATTGATAGGCGAAAATTGGTCCTTCTGATTTTCAAATATTCATTGCTGTATGTGGAAAGTAATCCCATCTTAAAAAGTTTTTAATGTTAAATTAATGCAACTCTTGAGAGTGGGCAGAAAATATTTCTGCAGTAATACACATTTGCAATTATCTGAGATGCTTGACATCAAATTTTCATGTTGGGTGGCCTAATTTTGTATAGTTTTATTTTTACTTTGTATGATTTGATGACTTTCTTATCCTTTATTACATCCAATCCTTTAAAATGAAACCATTAAAAAAAACAACTGTGTTAGTTTGGAGGCTGTGCCATTTTTCAAAGCAGCTTAAAGGCTTCAAATATAAGAAAGAATCATCTAATTCAGCTAATTTTTCATATTATTTTGTTATAGTCACAGCCTAATGTTCAGCTACTTAAAAAAGGCATCTGTCTACACTGCTGTCTAACAATATATTTCCAATAAGGAAAACCTAAGGTAGAGAAATGTCAGTAATACTAACTAAATGAGGTAAAACACAGACATTTACCAATCTTACCGTCATTGTCAATATCCATCTGTCTGAAGATCTTATCTGTCCTTTTCTCTGGTGTCGATTCATCTTCTGGCATCTTCATTACTGATGACACCATCTTGTAAATTGCCTGAAAAAACATGATAATTATTGCAATTATTTCAATTTATTTGTGTTGCTTTAGAGAAAATGTAAAAAAAAAAGATCTGTTCTTGTCTGCGATGACTACTGTTGCTCCAGTCTTGTTTCTGTTGTTTAGAACAACTACATTTCCTGCAGTTCTGTTCACAGTAAATCACTTTGTAAATACATATTACAATAATATCTACTTGCAGAAGATTTTCAAGGAGATTTTCACTGTACTAAAAGCAGCTCCGTGGTTCAAGGGTTTTTTTGCTTTTTCTTTTTCTCCATTCATTTAATCAACAAACACAACGAACAGAGCCGACACTAGTATGTCTGTACATTCTGCTTAGCTTATAACTCTGGAAGACAAAACACATCTCCAACAGTAAAAAAAAACAAAAAAACTGTAAATATACAGTCATATGTTCACATCTTTTTTTTTTTTTTAACCACAGTGTTTTTTTTTCAACACAAATGTTTTTATCTGTTGCACTTTAAAAAATGAAATAGTGTAGAGAGCTGTACTTAACGAAATTTTGTTTTGTGTACACTTGTGTGCACAAAATGACAAAATAAAATCTGTTTAAGTTAGTAACGACAGCTTAAACAGACAGTTCAATCTAAAATGAACATTTAACTCTATTTTATTATGCATCTATCAAGACCATTAAAGCTAAACTTGTTGATCAATATAAAGAATGATAATGGAAAAAATCAAACATTTCTAAATAGAAACAGTTTTTGTTTCTTTAATGGGATAAATTGGGTTTTCAGTCATAGTTTGGTGGGTTTCAATGAAGAAAAACAAACAAAAAATTGAAAATGTTTGTCTTTTCTTGCATTTTCCATTGAAACATATAAAAATGTTTTCGACAGAAATCTAATTTAACAGTATGTTCTAGCATTTCAAAAACAGGCACCAGAAAACTGATGTGGGATTTGGAGGTTGGACACTTTAGTTTATGAAGGTATTGCTAATAGGTCATAGCAACATGACCTTCTATGGGAGTCACAATCCCTTAGTGTGGCACAGAGGTACGGCGGGGGATTGTTTAAGATTTTCCTTATTTTATAACACATTAATCAGCAGAGTAACATTTCTAATATAAGGCTTAAACTGTAAAACATGCTTTTGTGTTAAAATTTTTTACACAGATACCAAAAGTTTGCATTGAGACCAAAAAACTGTTGAGTCAATCTTGATTTAATTTGTTCTATAACTGGAAATTAGTTCTCAAACCCTCTCAGCTTCACAGGCTAAAGTTAGTCATCAGCATTTCAACCCCCATTAATTTAAAATTTCAACATTCTTATTTTAGAATGTATAGAAATGGTAGCATATTTTGATAAAACATTTTCAGTTATGAGTATATCTACCATTGCATTTCAGCTACATTATTGCCGAATGGATTTTGTAGAGTAGACAGACATTTAATGAATAATATGAACCTAAATTAGATAAGGAGCATATAATTAAAAGCATGATTTAATATAGGACTGTGTTTTTGTCTTATTAGTTTATAATTAAAAACACAGTTATAAGGCTATCAAGTGTAACTATGAGATATAAAAAAAGAATGACTTGACTAATTACTTACAATATACCTATCATTCTACAAAAATTAAACATTGAAAAAATTTTTTTAAATACACCATCTTTGCTGGGTGCATTGAATGAAGGATTTGCAAATTGAGACAAAACACAAATTACTTCAAAGTGAAATGTGTTCGTTGTAAATAACAGCTCTTCATTATAAAAGAAAAAGGAAACAAAACTAACATTTTAATAAATTAATTGTATTGAATAAAATATTTCATTTGCTCTTTTTTTTCTTGTACATACAGTAGTCATCTAATTTCAATCATTTACAAAACATTTCTTTTAAGGGACATATCTGCATTGCATCACAGCAAGCTGAAGACCCATACCCAAATCCTTGCTGGATAATGATGCAACACATTTTCCTGAAGAAAGGGGAGTAACCACTTAAGTATCAGACTGGCTATGAGGTTAGTTTTATGTTTTCTTTCTTCCTCTCCTCTAAAACCACCGGGACAAAGAGGCACTTTGTGGGATTTTCACTAGAAGGCCGCCAGGGGTTGGAAAGTGATACTTTAGTTTGCCCCTGAACCTCTGAGGTGAAGCAAAGATGCTAAGTATATTTGGACAGAAAGATTACTGAGTCATCCCAGTGTAAACTTTTCAACACTGTGTTTTTTCTTTTAACCTCGACTGTGCCATATTAACATGTAAGAGATTTACCACATCTGTGCAATAGTTTTTTTTTTTTTTTTTTTTTATGAGCCCTAAAGGCATCTGCTCAGGATGGCAATTTCAAAAGGCATTAAATTAACCAAACATGCTATATTTCAAGCTTACTTGTCCAGTCAAAGACAAGCTGATAGCTAGAGAGTGATGGTACGAAAAGAGATCAAGGTCACTTATGTGTTCTGATGGAAAACAGTGAGGATACAAAGGTCATTTTAAATCAGAAGTATTTGTGCTCTGAATTTAAAGATTTACAGAAAATTTTTGCTGATCTCCCTCAGATTTATAGCAACAATACTGCAATATTAACCCTTTATAGGGAAAGTTACATTTTTTGTTTACTTCCATACCCCTTACAAATGGAGTCCCCCAATCCCTCAGGGAGGTCTAGAAGAACAAGATCTATACCCAACCATTCAGCAAAGATATTGCTACATGGTTATACATCTTATTTTGGTATTTGGCCAATTAGATGAGTCCTTGAATGATATATTACCTACTGTAAACTAAGTTGGAAAAATAATAATAATAACGTGTGGTCCTGGATTCCAATAACACCATTGGCTTTAAATTTTGATTTTAAAAGTATTTCACTGAGTGCCCTATAAAGGGTTAAGGAAATCTCATCCCAGCACTGCATGTCCCGAGTCCGCAATATCATCAGTGACCCCTTACACCCTCACCAGGGACTGTTCTTCTTGCTGCCCGTTGGAAAGAGGCTTTGCAGCATCTTCTGCAGGTCCAGCAGTTTCTACAACAGCTTGTTCCCCACAACCAGCAGACTCTTGAACTGTTAAACTCTAAACTGGACTCTGCATCACATTCGCAACATTATTTTGCACCACCAGCATGGCAGACACAACTCAATGTTATACTGCATTTTGCACCATATTTATTTTGCACTGCACTGAACCTTCCATATTGATGCCCTTTTGCACCATTATCTTTTTTTTTTAACTGCACTTTAAATTGTAATGTTCACTGTTGGAAGCTGTAAGCAATGTAATATAATTTTGCATACACTCGGTGTATACACAATGACAATAATGTTTGTCTAAGTCTAAGTCAATGGGCCATTATAAAGGAGAAGCAAGTCAAGAGACTAATTAAACAAATAGCAGTTAAAATACACACAACAAAGAATCCAAGAAGGATTAAATGTTTAGGATAATAATTTTCAAATGATAAAAGCTCCTGGTACCACAATGAAAACACAGTTCTAGATTTAGTTCAAAGGCACCACATGCCTAATGCTGGTTCTCACAGCCTTTTTTGTTTTTAGAAAACAGAATGAGGAGCATTTTGTACTGCCTCATCTGATCACACCAACACATTAACAGAACAATCATACAACTGAGTATAATGCAGTGAAATGGATCCTCACCTGAACTATCTCTAGCATTTCAGCCCGACTGATGTAACCGTTCCCATCCAAATCATACATGCTGAAGGCCCAGCGCAGCTTCTGCTCCAGCCCTCCACGTGACGTCACGCTCAAAGCTATAATGAACTCCCGGAAGTCGATGGTGGCGTCGCCATTTGTGTCGAACGTGCGAAATACATGCTCTGCGAACTTGGAGGCGTCACCATAAGGGAAGAAGTTGGCATAGATCTTCTTGAACTCCTCCACTGTCAGGTGGCCGGTGGGACAGTCTTTCAGGAAACCACGGTACCACTCCTGCAGCTCGTGGTCTGTGAACTCTGTGTTCTCCCTCAGGTCGTTCAGGACCTCAGGCCGCAGCTTACTGTTCTGTTTCCCCATGATGCAGCACTCAGAGGCGGACAGCAGAGCTGGCGTTTCAACCTTCTCTTCTTTCTATCGCTTCTCAACTCACACTGCTACTCCCTATGATTGAGGCTGCTGCGCTTCCTCTGCTCCTGCAGGGGACAAACAAACCTCATTAACAGCCTTGTGTGAATTTCATAAATGATTCATTGGATCAATTATTGTTCTCAGTTTTCAACAGTGTTTCATTGGCAAACATTAGCTGCCAATTATTCTCAGTCGATTCAACCTAAGGGAGAAAATCTGGATTAATCAACATGTAAACAGAAGAGATATCAACAGTAATGTTATTGGGACGGTATCGGTGGATTTGTTTGTGGGTGTGTGTATTGTTGGAATAATTCATCAACCCTGCCCTCCATGAGAAAGGAGACGAGAATCCTGTGGGGGGGGGCATTATTCTTAATAAAACAACTTTATAAAATGTCAGACTGACACACACGGCTGTGGTCGAGAGAGAACCAGACGTTCCCACTCAATAACGATCCCCTCCATCCTGAGAAAATGGGTAATCTAATTTAATTTAAGCAGGTGGAATTTATTTACTGGATAAAAAAAACACAAATGACAGCTAAAAAGCATCTGGCCACCTGGGCCTATTCACCTCTGGTCTCTATATTTTGTCTATATTCAGCTCCCATGGTTACGGTATACTGTGCAAAACCACTTTTATTTATTTATGCAAGGGTATCCATGATAAGAGGCATTAATGATAAAAATCCAGAATAAAATGTGATTTTGCTTGAAGAAGCCGACATTAGGAGGTAAGCAAACAGTAAGAAAACGGGAGAACAAACAGTGATGATATTTGTTTTATCCCAAAGCTGAGAGACCTTTAGACTGTAAACCTAAAGTAATTTACTTGCTAGAAAGCAAACCTCTGTTTTTAAGCCTTTATCAGCCTGATTTCCTCCAAAGCTGCTTTTTTTAAAGCTCCACCCGTCTTACAAACTGCTCTGAACATCTTCTATTTCCCTTGATCAGGAAGCTGCCCCCACCGTGTTTTATGGTTCGGATGGTGTGTTGCTACGGTGATGTTTCCAACGCAGCTTTTGCATGTAGGCAAAATAACTATTTTGGACATCCTTCAATTGCAAATGTTCTTAGATGGTTGACTGTAAACCACAAGCAGGACTTCTTCCATAATGTTTATATAGGTGGAGTGTGTGACAAATATCAGCCATATAACAGTCTTTTATCTGAGCTGTGAATTTCTGCAACTCCATCACAGTAGCCATACACTTCTCACTCTTACTCTCCCAGTGTAGGCGGACAACTAACTTTTGATAGGCCTGTAGTTGAGCTCTACTCTATTTTTTGAACTGAACTGCACTGTCCGAAGCTTGGGGATTTTGTTGAATAACCTAAAGTTGCTTTAACGTCACCTTAAAGTTCTCTCTGCTGTGTTCCTTGGTCATAATGAGGCTTCTTGTTTTCCTATTTCATCTCAAAACCTCTAAAGCATCACCAGAAACGTTCTTTAATTAGATAACATTAAACACATGTGGACTTTGTTTACAAATTTCTAGTAGTTACATGATGTTTTATTGCACGTTTGTTTTATGAGTGTCAGAGAAAAACAGTGAATATGAAAACTATTTCACACTTAATTTTTTTGTAAAGAAAAATTTGGTATTGCTTCCCTTTTGCTTCACAATTACACCCTACAATGTGTTGACGAGATAACATCCAGATTGACTACATAGAAAACCGTATTTCAATGCCCCTAATAGAATAAAATAAAAGGTTTCCTAGAAAAAAGTTATGATAAAACTGTGCTAATCCTTTACTTGTAACTGTTGAAGTGTGCAGGATGCAAAACAAGGGTGTGTAGGTGTAGAGAAGAGGGAAGAACCGAAAAAGTATGACACATAGAAGAAAGACTATTTCTGGCCGTACAGTATGAGTTGCTTTGTTAATACCAGAGGTTCGATTACATAATAGCCCTTCTGTATAACACCTCCACTCTTCGCTACTCTCTACTCCCTCTAATGATTTTTTTTTGGGGGGGGGGGGGGGGGGGAGGGGGTGAACACACCGCTCTTTGCTGCCAAAAAGATGATTCTTTGTGAAGAGCAGATAAAGGCAATGTGAATCTGAACGCACACAGACACCGTCATTCACTTTAATTGTCTCGCAGGTTTCATTTCCTGCCGTTTTATGAATCTGAATAATGTGATGAAAGAAGCAGATGTGAGAAACACTTTTGAATAAAAAGAAATGGATCAGCACAGTTTCAAAGCACAGCTGCCTTGATTATTGTTCTTTTTTGTCATTTCTAAGTAAAAATCCCTCCATACAGAACTTATTGGCTCATTTGTCAAAGCTACTATTGCACTGTTTACAGTTTTGTAATTACATTAGTTAAAGGCTGGTTAGAGTATAAAACAATATTCCTCTGGTTTCATGTCAGATTAATAACAATAGTTTTCATGCATGATGCAGAATATAGAGTAAGTCATTGTTGGTCTTTTCCAATCAGCTGCTGCTGCACACTGCCAGTGAGCTGCCTCAAGTTGTTTCTTACATTTTCTTGACATTTTGTTTCTTTCATTTTGTTTTTTTTAAACACTAATATTCAAAGTGTGTAACCTATAGAAAGACCACCCATTACTCTTTTTAAGGTAACCATGTGACTATAAGTACTGCTTGCAAGCTATGACCTGTTTTAATACGATGTATTACTTAAGTTTTATTTTAAATATACAAATATATATTTGTATATTTAAATTTACATCTGATTTTTAGACTGCATCATGCATAGAAGACATAACTAACAGGTCACCCCAAATAGGACATTAATACACAGTATCATAAGTAACTGATAAGTGTGTTACATAGATCTTTCAACAGGACACAGAGAATATTTTGGGAGAAAAATACAGTTTTGCTTTATAATGCAGCCATATTTTGCATATCATGTGTGTATTGGGGTGCAGGTATAACAAAAGATGTCTACCATGTCAGGGTGGCTGTCATTATTTTTCTTGTCAACATTCTTTTTTTTCCAACTGCTCATATTTGAGGATCAGACAACTTGCATGCCCCCCAAGTGCTCAGATAATTAGTACCTCAAAAAGCCATTCAAAACCTAGTTTAGCAGATGATGTGGAATGTTAATGCTTTAGTATGTGTAGATGTGTAGAAGGATGATCCTAGGATTTCAAAGATCTGAGCAGAAGTAAAGTCAATCACTACTAAAGGCAAGGCTATGGCAGGTTTTTGAAATGTCAAAATTAATTTCAACAATAAAACATAAAGATAAAAAGCAGTTTCCACTAATAAAGCTAAAACCTGCACAATTCTTATTACAGCCGGATTTATCGTTTTATTGATTATTTATTTATGAGGCTTGCATAAAGCCTTATGTGGCTGCTGTAGTAGACCGGCGGGCTTCCAGCATAGATTTTGCTTTAAATCTTCTGTGTTTCGTCTGGAGTATCTGCAGCAGTGACAGCTACTTCCTGAACCCAAGCTCACACAGACTCCATCATCTGTATTCCTTTCTCTACATCGCAAATAGAAGCCATTCTTGTCAATTATATGAAATAAAACATTGGTGGCAGAGAGGCATCAGGGAGAAAGACAGAGAGAGAGAAAGATGGAATGAGAAAGGCTCTACATCCTCTGTCAGTGATGATGATCAAGTCTGTTTTTGATGGAAAGACCAAAAGAGTTAGGCAGGAAGTCAGACATGTGAAGATGAAAACAGAGTGTAAAACATTTTAAAAACAAGAGGGGGCTTTTCAAGTGCATGAACGGATCCTACACACCTCTATTGTGAATCGCTGCACAGCAGAACATGTGATGGATGATGGAGCCATGGGCGTGGTACCTGTGAGGGATACGACACCCGCACTTTTTTGTTTTCCTCACAGTCAATGTTAACTGACTAAACTATTGAAAAACACCCTTTATATGAGACAGGTCTGTATTTGCAACAGTAGCGTCTGCAAAAGTGAATTAGGTTTTGTTTTTTCCACTTCGTCTCTCTCAGCCCTCGCTTTATCAGCAGCCCCCGTGTCATGCTGAAAACTGCTTCCCATGCTCAAAGTTAAACAAGAGCTTGTAATTGTACAATGTTCATGTTTTTCATTCATATGAGACAATAACTGGCATATTTAGTGACCAAACATCTACATTTACCCTTATTTAGTTGATACTATAACATGAAAACTTAAACTGGGATTTTATGACACTCTAGCTTTGAAATACATTTCTCAGAAGGCCTACGTTTCTCAGCATAACACCGCCCAGTGCCTCACATTATAGGCTGATCCCAGTCATAGCTATTTGCTTCTCTGATCGGACACTCACAGACCGCAAGTCTTTCTTAAATCCTAACTGGTTCAAAGAAAATTTGATTGGGGTAGTGGCACAAGCAGTCTAGACGGACCTGTGATTCATTCATTCATTCATTGAGGAAAAAGGAAAAGGAGAGAGTGTTGGAGAGAGATCAAAGAAAACTGTAAGTAAGTTTGCTAATGTGTAAATAATAAAGGAGTTTTCTGGCAAAAATGATTCAATGTAATTTTTTTATATCAGGTTTAAAAAACAACCAAAGAGAGAGAGAGAGTTCTAAATGCCTCCGAGGCAAGATAAGAAACAAGCCAGTCTGAATTATCTTTCATTGTTTTAGTGTTACTGAAAAAATAACTTTATTATTACTTCTATTATATGTGCTAGTCAATTATTCAGTGACTGCAGATATATGATAATTATCTAAAATGCAGTTGACTGTGCCAATCTTGGACAGACCACATCCCCCACACTTTTGAAAAGCTTTGGTCAGCTCCCTGGTGCTTGATATAATTGAGACAAACTTTTCTATTTGACTAAAATAGAAGATGAGACTTTTAATAGTTGATTCTCTATGTCCTGAGATTGCCAAAAAACAAAACAAAGGAACTCGAAAAAACATTAAAATATTTTGTAAAATACAGCAAATACCGATACCAACAGATGTGTAACAAAAAAGTCAGAAATGGTTTTACTTAATGCAATAGCTTTTAAAGAATTTTATTAATCATTTCTGTCCTAATTTCCCATTTCTTATTGCATTTATATTCACCGGCTCATACAGCATTACTCA